AAACCTGGTCCTAATCCCATGATCCCTCTGCAGTTAACAATGGGATCAATAGACCAAGAGACCCAGGCTGGCACCTGAAGCTGCATTCATTCCAACTGCGGTGGGAATCCACCCAGAGAAATTCTTTCCTCCTGAAATGCCTCCATCAATGAGGTTTTGGATGTCAGAGACAATTAAACATGGCATAGCCACTGGGGTACAACAGACCTGCCTGGTGAGGTCCCAAATGCAAGCACCTTTCCATATCAGGTACAACCTCAATCTGTGTATCATAGGGCAGATCTCCCTGAATTTCAAGGTCCACCGCAGGCCATGCACCAGTTGTTATCCAGAATTTCAAATACCTCTCCATCCCATGCAGCACATGGGAGGCATCCCAGAGATACAAGGGTCTTATTCTCCAGTTTCATCCAGAGAAAGTGAGTCTTCCCTTTTGGAAGAAGATGTAAATTGGACAAGGACATATCAGAGGATAAGGGGCTTGCTCCAGTCACCTTCACGGGACTGTTCCGATCTCTTCTTTTTAAGTTGCTGTTGTTCAAGGCCAAAAATAAGCTCACCTTGGCAATACCTCAGTCGCACCAGATCCGGCAGTGAACCCAGTGGAGTCAGATGACTTAATCTTTTCAGAACCAATTATGGAGGCGGATGTCATACCAGTTCCTAAGATGTTTGTGGACATAGTCCAATGACAGTGGTCATCCACAAGCACCTATTCCAGTCCTATTGGTTATGATAGGAAGTTTTATAATTTAGCTCCTGACCTGGCAGGGGCGCTTCAGCAACCAGAAGTTGATGAACCAGTGGTGGCCCTAGCAGCTTCTTCTGTGCCCCCAGTGAGGTGGAAGATGAATTAAGACAGGAGGATAAGGGAGCAGAACTAGCACTGTAGGGTGCACTAGGCAGATGCCTGGGCCATTAAGATAGATACAGCTGCATCATTTTTCACCCAAACCTCCCTACAGTGGTAACACAATCTGCAGGAATCCATCCCTGCCTCAAACATCAGGGCGCAACAGGACATTGCCAAACTAGTGACGGCTACAGAATTTTCTGATGATGCAACTCTGAATGCAGTTAAATTCTCTTCCAGAGCCATAGCTTCTCAGGTTATAGCCTGCCATCTACTATGGCTTCGCCATTGACAGGCAGATACCAAGCATAAATGGAAATTCCCCCTCCCCCCAATGGCACTAAATTGTTTGGGGCCGCCTTGGATCCCGTCCTGTTAGAGGCACAGGGCAGAAGGAAAATCTTGCTTTCCATTTCTTGGTGGTTTGAATACCGTCCCGCTCAGTCCTTTCAGAGGGCTTCCTTTCGACCCTCCTACCAGGGAAAAATTTTTCAAAGATTCCAAAGGTCCTTTGGCTTTTGTCAGGACCAACAATCTGATAAGGCAGGTTTCCGAGATAGGAGCAGGTGAGATCCCAAGCTAAGCAGTCCTTTCGTGGCACAGGGAGCAAATCCTTTCGTCACCCCAAATGTCTGCCAACCTGACCCTCCCATTGGAGGTTGGCTGGCCCTTTTTGCCAACCAGTGGGACATAACCACCTCAGACGCTTGGGTCCAAGAGACCATAAGATCTAGTCTCTCTCTAGAGTTTCTCTCCACACCCCTGAACTCTTTTTTGCAATGTCCCATCTCAAGGGATCCCACAAGGAGGGCTCAAGACCACAATTCAGCACTTGTTGGAGAACCATGCCATTCATCCGGTCCCAGTGGATCAATGCGGGCAGGGATTCTATTTCCTCCTCTTTGTGGTTCTGAAGAATTCGGGGTGGGTGGGGTGGAGGGCAATTCTAGACCTAAAGCGTCTGAACCACTTTCTAGTACAAGAGGTTCAAGATGAGCTCCCCGCAATCTCTTCTCTGTGTATCAGGCAGGGAGATATCTTGACCTCCATGGATCTGACCGAAGCATACCTGCATATTCCTATAAGACCTACGCACAGAAGCTTCCTGTGGTTTTGCTACGCCAACCGCCATTATGAGTACAGGGCCCTACTATTCGGCCTGGGCCCTACTATTTTGCCCCCCCTCCCATAACTTTTACGAAGGCTCTGACAGTCTTAGCGGCATATCTCAGGAGCATGCCGGTTCCCTTGCAATGTTACTTAGTTGACATTTTGATACAATCCTTGTCTCCTTTGCAGGCAGAGATAGATCTATGAACCACATTCCAGGTCCTTCGGGACCATGGCTTTTCAGTCAATCTAGGCAAAAGCCATTTAACACCTACAACTCATCTTCTGCACCTGGGTGCCATGATAGACACAGTGACAGGTGAGATTTTACTCTTGCCAGACAGACAAATCAGCATCAGGAACTTGTTCAATCACATTCGGACTCTTAAAAAAGTACCCCTGGCCCAGTTATCTCAACTTCTGGGAAAAATGATTCCCTGTATTGCAATTGTCCCTTGGGTGCGCCTCCACACCGGGGACTTTGCAGTGGTTTTTGCTCCCATTCCAGAGACCTGGCAGGAGCAACTCCATGGTCAATGTCTTGGTCCCTCCAAAGGTTCCAATGGTGGGCATCCAGGAACATCATCAGGGAGTGCCTCTTCAGAGAGCCATGTTGATTGACAATTAGTACCAATGCCAGTTTCTTTGGCTGGAGGGCTCACTGCCAATCCCTAGTGGCCCAGGGTCGTTGGTCTCCAGCAGACCTAACTCACAATATCAATTGGCTGGAACTCAGGACAGCTCATGTGGCCCTCCACAAGTTCCAGCACGAGATCCAGGCACAGCATGTCCTCCTTCTGACAAGACAATGTGGCCACCAAGGGCCACATAAATCAGCAGGGGGGCATACATTCAAAGTCCCTCATGAGGGAGGCAGAAAGGCTTTGCTGCTGGGCAGAGAGTCATCTCCACTCCATCAAAGCAGAGAATATCTCAGGACTGACCAACATTCAAGCAGACTGATTGAGCAGGGCCACTGTCAATCATTCTGAGTGGCTCCTGCACTTGAGATTCTTTCAGGAGATATTGGATCATTTCAGCCAACCGATCCTGGACCTCTTTGCCTTGCCATTCAACACCCAACTGCAAAGATTTTACTCAAACTTCCTGGCTCAGGGAGCAGAGGGAGTCAATGCTCTCTGCTGTCCCTGGCCCAGGGGCCTCCTATATGCCTCCCCTCCCCTTCCTGTGATACCCAAGGTAATCAGGAAACTACTAGAGGGTGGATGTTCTTCTTGCACCATACTGTACGAGATGCCTGCGGTTTGCGGACCTCATGGACCTCTTGATTGTTGACCCCCGGAGAATTCCGCTGGACCGGGTCTCCCTCAGCCAGGGCCCCATAGAACATCTGGAGCCACTGTGGCTCTACCTGGTCATCTGGCACTTGAGTGGAGACTTCTGAAATGCGAGGAATTATTCAACAAGGTTATCAAGACTATCCAGGCCGCTAAATGTCTGTCCACTAATTGCATTTATAATGCCACTTGGAAGAACTTCTACAAGTGGTGTGACAAGACAAAGATAGACCCCACCTCTGCATCAGTAGCAAACATACTAGACTTTCTCCAGAAGGGATTGGACAAGGGGCTGTCCCTGAATATTCTACATAGGCAGGTGGCGGCTAGTTTCAGTACTCTCCTGCGGGGATTTACAGTGTAGAGTATGTAGTTTTCTCCGAGGGGCCACTAATATAAAACTTCCATAGATACCCCACGAAGGATCTAAACAAGGTTCTCAAAGCATTCACCAAACCACCATTTGAACCCTTGAGAACTGCCAGCCTCCACCTTCTCACATACAGGGTAATCTTCCTGGTGGCTATCACCTCCGCAAGGAGAGGTGAGAGAGAACCTGTGTGTCTTTCACTCTGATAGGGTGGTTCTCTGTTTAGGCCTGGCTTTCATCCCCAAAGTCAATCCCATTGTGTGCAGGAGTTGATTCTCCCCAACTTCTGTCCAAGGCCGGTTCACGCCTTAGAGAGACAATGGCATTCCTCAGACATGCGAAGGGTCCTTGCAATTATCGCAACAGAACTGTTTCCAACAGAACAGCCGGAGGCCCTCTTTGTTTCATTTCAGCCATCCACACTAAGGAGGAAAGTCACAGTGTTGACAGTGAGTAGATGGCTTCAGGCTACGATTGCAAAGTCATATTAACCGCACACCTTATAAGTGCCCGGAGGAATCACAGCACACTCCACCAGGAATGCGGCCACATCATCAGCTTGGGCAACACAAGCCTCTATAGAAGAAATTTGTAGGGCAGTGACATGGTTATCATTGTTACCCTTCATAAGACATTACAGACTAGATGTCTTTGCCTCGGCAGAGGCTGCCTTTGGTAGGCGTATCATACAGGGAATTCACATAGTGACAGAGACTCCAAACCAGACGGAGACCCTCCCGTAGGACATGCCAGTTTGGCTTTGTCCCTGGCTTACATACTCAGAACAGCTCACTGGAGAAGGAGTATTGGTTCTTACCTGATACACCCATTTTCTGGGAGCTGTGATGAGCATCCAGCCCCACCCAGATGACCGTTTGGTTCTGGTCCTGGTCCTGGTCCTGGTCAAGAACTAAGAGAGCAATGGTACAGGAAGAACAATGGTGTATCCTGCCACTTTGACTTCGCCAAAACTGGAGACAAGTGTCAAGGAGGTGGGTCCTCAGAATTTTGCTCAGCCTATCGAACAGTGAGACGGAAGCATTACCCTGGCCTGGATGTTCATCACAGCTCCCAGAAAATGGGCGTATCAGGTAAGAACCAACACCCCTTCTCTTAGTCCAAGGAGAAGGGTGAGCATGAAAATTACAAGGCTAAGGGTTGTTTAGGACCAAAGTAATTGTAATTGGTATATTGTTCACTTATTTACCACATTCCCATATAACATTACACAACAGTGAAATAAAAGGATTGAACAATAACATTGGTCAATTACAGTATAATTATAAAGATAATTTAAATTTAAACAAGTATGAGTCCCCTTAATACCTTTTCTAATGTAACTAAAGTATTTACATTTTTTTATTGATAGGACTCGCTGATTCTTGAAAAATCTCAAAATTGGAGTTCCCAGAAAATGGACCATATTATGATTTGTTGCGTTTGCCTTGGAGATAATAGTGAAGATGCTGATGAAATAATTCAGTGTGATAATTGTGGAATAACAGTACATGAAGGTAATTTATCATGTCTTCAACTTACTGTGAGTAATGAAGCATTACTATTCTTTTAGTAAAATTGAGTGAATTTGTTCATGAGTAGGTTAAATAAATGGATTTTATAATTGTCTGATAATGTAATTAACAAAACTCATGGGTATGTATATCCTTATTAATAGCGTATTAAAATAATATTGCTAAAGGTTTATAATAAATGCTTGAGGTTTGAAAATAACTTTTTTTTTAATTCAGATGACGAGTGTTTCTTTAATTATTTGTTTCTTGCTTCTTTATATACAGAAATAAAGGACTCATCAGAAATTCATGTGTTTCCAACTGATTATTGATTGTATTGATTGTTGTGTAATACAGGTTGTCCTAGCTTAATTATCACTTATTCAGCAACCATTTGAAGTTTCAGTGGGACTGAATAAAATGTTTCATGACTGGTCTTTGTGGTTGCAGCCTTCACAGCATCCCAATAGTCATGATATTACAATTCTGGCGTGTTTCAACAGTTCACAAATATGATCACAATGTCCCATGATCATGTGATCACCATTTGTAACCTTCCGTTCTGCCTTCCAACAAGCAAAATCAATGGAGAGGTCACACAAATGGTGATAGTGTGATGTTGCGCTTAATGACACTGTGAGATTCACTTGACGACAGTATCCGGAACTGCTGCTAATGCTAACATAAATTGGTGCACTCATGTATCATTGTATGCCACAATCATGTTGCTTAGTGATAGCATTGCCAGTCCCGATTACTGTTGCTAAACAAAGTATAACTGTATTCTTTCTATATATGCTTCTTTCCACCCCAACTTTTTGAGTTTTGAATAGAAATAATAAAAAAAAATGAGCAGGAGCCTTTGTTTCAAAAAAACAACAACCAGTTTTGTTGAAATTAAATATTATTACATAGGTATTAAATGTTGGTAGTAGTTTGCCTGTGTATTATTTTTCAGTTGAGGAGCTCTGATTTGCAGGTATGTATTCTTACTGAAATTAATGGAAAGATACCATAAACTGTCATGAAATTCCATCAGAATGATTGATTGAGAAGAAGAGTAGTATTCCTGTTGTATATATATTTAATTGCATTGAATATAGTTGAAATTAAGATTTAACTATTCAATCCACCTCAATATTAGTTTGACTCAAATAATAAACTATGTTTGAAATAAGATTCATTTAAATGGATTAGGATAAATTTCTTTTGGACCAGAAATAGGCATGGTAAGAAAGTGGCAATCAAGTTATAGTCTAAGAGCCTGGTTTCTTCTTTTTGTGAAATATAATTAGCCCAACATTCCATCCTTTCATAGCCCCAGCTACATAATAATTCCTAACTTTTGGGGTTAGCAGTAGTGGCAATGTCTGATGCTGGTTTATTCTCCATTTATAGGTACCATTTACTCCAACAGTTATGTATTAATTTGTTAATAATAGACGAATAAGAATGGAAGATTAAAGCATGTCTTATATTAAAAGCATCTTTATAAAAAGGTTGGGCATGGTTTCCGCTATATATAGATTCTTCTTTTGTTCATAAAAGAGTTTTTTTCTTATTAGATCTCAATGTGAAAAATTACTAAGGATTTGACTAGCAATATATTAATAATGCTTTTAGAAAGTATTTCTTAGTCCTAGTGAAAAAATGTAATCATTTTAAAGTGCTTTTTTATAAGTGTTCTTTTGTAAAATTCCATTTTTAAAAATGAAATCCCATAAATGTTTTCATGGCTGTCTTTAAAAAAAAATTCACCAAGCTAAATTGTGATACTGGAAAGAGCACTCCCACCTGTATCCATTTTCCTGACCACAAAAGGTGTTAAGAAAAATATCTGGTACTTACTAGATTTTGACTTAGAGATGTAGCTGATTCATTTATTTTCAATTGAATGGAACACACACACACACACACACACACACACACACACACACACACTTTGTTT